AATACAACTTTGCAATACACAAAATTTCCACAGTCACTTTAACTTAAAAACACGCTATAATTCACAATGATTTACACACTTACTTCCGGCTTGACTCGATTATCTGTCTCTATATCTCTCTTCAATCTGCTATTTCTCCGCTTTATTTGTCGGGCTTATATATTAAAATAGAGAGCGCCTGGAAAAGACTAGAGTTGCCAAGAAAAGTCATGATCCTTCTAGAAACAAATGACGTATTACCAGAATCACGTGACTTCCGCTGTGGTAACAGTACTGTTGCGTATCTGCTTGTTTGTTAATTTCCAGTAGAAATTCTTTCCGAGAACTTCAGCGATACTAGTCCTTTTTGATTCAAACTAGTTTATTCACAGCGATTCACACACTTTACTAGAGTTGCCAGGATTATTGAAGATCCTTCGAGAATCTCATGACGTGTTACCAGAGTCACGTGACTTCCACTGTCGTAACAGTACATTTATCTTCCTTGGGAGGGTTATTTAAAATTTCTGGTGAAAATAAATATTCGTCCAGTCCACGTAACGATTATGAATTACTTTATTAACTCTTTTAACGTTTTGACATATTTGAACATTATACACTGCGTTAATTTGCTGTACTCTTATGTTTCAAGTGATGTTAACTGGCAAATCGAATGATAGATTTATTCTATATCTTTATAGCACACTTTCCAATCTCTTAACTATCTGATACATATAATTTACTTTTGAAACGCTAGAAAAATTCACGTCACATCCTTAGAGTTTTCTAGGTATTTTAAGCCTGTCTTATAAAACCTTCTGATCTTAACTTCATCATTAAGAGCCACAGTCCCCTGTAGCTAGCATTTAAATCACAAAATTAAAAATGTAGTTTACAGCCTTGCCCCCTTCCTCGGTTGTGATGTACCTTTAAGTCTTTCCTGATTAGGCATAAAAAATGTCTAATTTTTTAGGCACTTTCTTGTATGGCTGTATAGTCCTATTTAGGAGAAGCACACTCTGTTGCAGTTTAAAAGGCAAAGGTTGTTATTCGGCATGAAGGCTATTGTGCTGAATTCTTTCTGACAGTCCTTTTTTCTTCTGCTTGTTGAGCTCTTTTCTTTTCATTTTTATTCGTGCATTCCTTCACATAGCTTTTCCATGGGCTGTATTTGTCTGCTACTACTTCCCAGTTGTAAACACAAATTTCAAAGTTTTCATATCCTTTTCTGCAAGCTTCCTTGTAGCGTAGATGAGAACGTCCAACTAATATTTTTTTTTGTCGCCAGATCCCCATATAGGATGTCTTTGGGGATTCTTTCATCTTTCATGCGCCTTGCGTACCCAAGCTATCTCAATCTTCTAAGACTCAACACCGAGAAAATGCTCTGCATATTGCTGCACTCAAGTACTTTGCTGTTGGCGATTTTGTCCCACCAGAGATAGCGCATGTGGAGACTATATATATTGAGCTTCTTTTCCTGTTTCTGTATGTCGTCCATGCCTCACTACCATACAGAAGAGTGCTGAGTACACAGGCTTTGTATACTTTCATTGTATGACATATTTATTTTTGATATCCAGGGGAGTTATTCCAACTACCACTTCCTCATGATACGCTAAAGTATTTGGTTCTGTAATGCCCCAGTCACTAGATGAAGAATTATTGCTTGGACACCCTGATATGAGTAGCTCATATCTTAGTGATACAACAATTATCCACCATTCCGATTTTTACTAGATGTTCAACCCCAGTGTAGTGATTACGATGACGTGTACAGGGACTTCCTGGTCTGAAGCTAGCCTGCCCTCCTATTTTTGTCTCTGCATGAAGTCATTTCCTAAAATGTGCATTTTCTTGATGTCAATTACCAGCACAACAAGAGGCATAGAGAAGTATCCCACAATAACGATAACTTCTGAGTTTTCTCTTGCTAGAAACCTGTTTTCATTGTTCGCATCACTCACTGTTCTTTCGGGCCCAGCATGGCCAGGTGGTTAGGGCGCTTGACTCGCAATCTGATGGTCGTGGGCTCGAATTCCCGTCCCACCAAAACATGCTCGCCATTTCAGCCGTAGGAGCGTTATACTGTGACGATCAATCCCACTGTTCGTGAGTAAAAGAGTAGCCCAAGATTTGGCGGTGGGTAATGATGACTAGTTGCCTTCCCTCTAGTCTTTCACTGCTAAATTAGGGACGGCTAGCTCAGATAGCCCTCTTGTAGCTTTGCGCGAAATAAAAAAACAAACAAACACTGTTCTTTCTTCTATGTAAAATGTATTATATTAGTTTCAAACGAATGAAATGTGTTGTCCTCATATATAGAACTGATCGCTAAGTGTAAGATTTTACAACACCGAATTAAGTGATGTTATGTACAACACACGAATGTAAATGAAGATAATTACATGGACATTGCTCTGAAAGGGGCGGAGCAAGTGCGGTTTACTCCAACCCTCATGTCGTATCTGCATCAACATTAATCTGTATCAAAACCACAGTTCGGAATGGAGGAAGAGGTCTTTTGTACCTGGCCCTCCCTGGTCTATTAAGACCAAAATCCTCACGAAATTGACTGTTCTTTCTCCGTATCTGGAGGCAATCTATAATATTTCATTACCAAATCGGATGAAACTATTGTAGCTGTAGAACCAGTGGTTGCAAGATAGTGCAAAGACTTCTGTCAATAAAATTGTGGATTTGTGGACAGATTTCTTTAACATCGTGTTATATGTAGATTGCTTGGAGATTTATAACATTAAATTAACTAAATTCGATGACGAGGAACCCACTTTGAGACTAATAATGCCTGGAGACGGCTTAAATGGGTAATGAAGAAAAACTTTAATATAAGTTTAACATGACAGCAAATGTACAACGTTTCGACAAGGTTTTGTCATCATCCTTTTCTTGCCTTATATTATGCAGATGGCGCTAAGCTCGTTTTTAATAATGGCTTCGTCCATAGAAGGTATGTTTGTTAAAATAATAATCTTCTTTTACATGTAGATGCATTTCAGGTTAAGTGTTATAAATTAATTTTATCATTTTATATTAATATTTGGTAATATTCAACATTCTTGTAATTTGTATTTTTAACTTATTGGATTATATTTAAGTTTTAAATGCCCATAACGGATTAAAGTGTAAAGACTAGTCTAGACTAAGTCTTAAGATTAAAGTGTAAATAAATTATAAAGTAAAAGCGGAAGAACGTAACAGATTAACACTTACAGTACCAATTGAATTAGACATTGAATCCGATTAATTTTTATTTTATTTCCACGCTTCATCAATAACACAGCTAAAGGAATGGTCAGTAAATTACAGCACTAAACATGTTATTTTTAGCTACAGAAAATGTGCAGTTCAATATAAATTAAAATGTAGGACTTCCCAATTTGAGTTCGACTGAGAGACAGGCCTTATTGCATCTATTCAGTCTCGTGATCGTTTAATGTGGAAATCCTGCAAGTTTATTTATTAGATAGGCCTATAACTTGTGTCAAACTCAGTCATAGTGAATGCAGCCTGTAGCAAATATTAAGTAAGAAATATATGACTTTGTTATTATTACTTACGTGGAATGCATCCCCCCCTCCCCAAGTAGAAACCAAATGTTTGTCAAAATTCTTCTTGGTATATTTCTAATGTCATACAACCTATGTTTAAATCCGTCAGAACTTATCCCTGGACAGTACCATAATTTGATTATCCCTTATTGTGAAAACACTAAAATCAGTATATTTCCCATCATTTTTGTAACACTAGTTAAATCTGTAGTAACAAAATATCTATTGTCTTGCATTTTAAACTTAAGTTTACAATGATACAGAATAGATATTTAAAATTGGCCACTTAGCATTAGTGAATTCACCTACAGGTACTAATTAATGTGTTTATTTAATAGAATCATCAGCCAAAGCAAATGAAGATGCTTGGAGTATTAAAATTCCACCATTCACTAAAGAAGATAATCCCCGTGGATTAGTTTGTGAGAGTGCATTTGCAACACTTTTTCCCAAATACCGAGAGAAGTACCTCCGTGAATGCTGGCCTTTAGTGAAAAATGCTCTATCAGAACATGTAAGTTTGTTTTATATGAAATATCAGGTTTCCACTGGAACTGGGAAATTAATCGATTACCCTTTTGCAATGAGTTGATACATTTCATGTGACCTCGACTGAAGAAGGACATTTGTGAAACAATACATATGTTAACTCTGAGATAACCTCACAAAACCTAGTAATATTTTGATAAAGATGATAAGTATTTTGAACACAAGAATGACATTATTATAATTATCTTTCTAATAAAAATGTTATTTATCTATTGTAGTTATTTGCATGTCAAACTCTGAATAGTTTGAGTGCAAGTTGATTTTATTTTTAAGTATGAATATACTTTTCTTTATCTTATAATTTTCATCTTTCATTTGCATAACCTCCTAAATCTAAAGATTTTTTAATTGAAATGTTTATATTTTATTTCAAATTTTCTCTACCATATCACCAACTCTAGCTGTTATCATTAGTGTACAATGCAAGGAAATGAATAAAAGTACATACCTTTTAATTCTTGTAGGATATCTTTAAAGATCATCTTTTGGTTATATTCATAATTTCAGGTCTTTTCCTTCTAACATATAGTTAATTTTTAATGTTTTATTTTCCTTTCTTGTCCATTACTATTTATTATTCATCTTGACACAAGTCAACGGTGCCCTCTGGCAGAGATTTGCAATTCTGAGGAAACATTTTTCCACACTGCATAATATTATAAGTCTTGAGAACTGATGCAAAGTATGATGTATGTTATAAAATTTTTAAACCTTTAAATTATTCATTTTAAAACATAAATAATACATAATTAACCAAAATATAAAAGTAAGACCTAAATACAATTTAACTGTATCTCTTACTATAATATGTTTAGGTAAGAAACAGCCATAAGTGCTATAGTCGATCAAGCAGCCAACAACACTACAGAAAGTAACATGTACCCTGTGAGGAAAAATGTGTGCCAATTTCAAAATAACTGTTGTTGGATTATAGTGTAAAATGAGCTCTTTCTAATGACTATATACATATGTATGTAAATTCTACATGTAGGCTATAAAGGTTAAAGAAATCTATTGAAGGTGGGTGTTGCACCAGTCAGGGGTTGACAAAATTTATTAATTTTTTGAAGTGCATTCTGAGAACTTTGAAATGTACTTGTCAATAGATTATGTAAATGTCTTATTGGCTAGATGTACATCTACACAACTGTCATTATATTATTGAAGATACGGAGTGCCAAAGTAGAGAATTTCATAGCTCGTGGATCACATGACAGTACATCTGAAGTTTGAAGTAGTTTTTGTTAAAGGTTTCTTTTGAAATATAGGACATAAAACTTATATAACATAAAATTTTGAATCATAACACATTATAATGTTAATTTCATTCACATTCATTGATAGTAAAGGTATTTAATTATATTTTGAATATAATGCAGTGACTTGCTCAGAAAAGTATTTAAAGGGGGTACCCAGAGTAAAAGGGCTAACTGTGAGCATGAGTTACATCAATTAATGTCATGGAAATATTCAACTAATCAAAATTGTTTTTCATATTATTACTATTTTCAGTTATTACGAGTATCCAAGTATTCAAAATATTCTGATATAATTTTTCAAATTCTCCTTGTTATATTTATAATTTATTCAAATTCATTCAGCTTTGAACTGGTGTGGCCCAGTGATTTGAGGGTCTCATGTTCAGTTTGTTTCTTTTTATCTGCCATCTTCCCAAACTTTTAACTGCCGACTGGAAGAAAGGTGGACTGGTTGCATCACCAATTGCCAACTCTTAGGGTACTTTTGTGTTAAATAAAAATTAAATTTACTGTTTTTTTACATTATGTTTTGTTCATCATTTATAATTATGTAACTGTATTCTTTAATGTTAAATATGGTGTAAAATTACTGATTTTACATAGTGCTTCGTTGTGATTTATATTTTGCATAACCATATTCTTAAGTGTTGTATAAGGTATAAGTTTATTTTTCCTATTGTATATGTGTTATGTTTGTGACATCACACCTGTTACTTTTCTGAATTTGTGTTTGGATGGAAGTTGTGACATGTGCTGGAACATTTCAAACCCACAACTTTCCAATCAAGGTACAAATGCTCACTAAGTAGTATTCTTTATCCATTTATTCATGCCAGTTAACCTTGTGATAAATTACAGATATAAATATAATCAATAAATTAATAAAGGATTAAAACTCACAAGTTTCAATCATTTTATCAATGTAACAAAAAAAGATATGGCATTAAATTTTCTTCAACATTATACATTACTTGGTATAGAATAATATTATAAAGTATACTGTATGATTGATTATAAATAAATAGGCTATGATTGCAATATATCCTTCATAAAGCCTGGTTAAAAACTTGTTTTTGCAGTAATCCAATCAACCCTGGATGAAAGGCCCTGACCTTAAATGTTTACACCTTTTCTTCCAAAAATGTCCAGAAAATATAACCGTATGTTTATCGGTTGACAACATTTTCACCCTGTTATTCACAAGAGCAAGTTTTGCAGTGAACCACAGAACGTAATTTTGATTGGAGTTAACATGAAATTAGCCAGGTCAAAATTGTAATAGTCATAATAAATTTATATTAACATATATTAAAAGACAGTTCTGTTTTTATTCAATAAATTTTAATGCTAATTTTTGATAATAAGACTTAGTGGATAATCTGTCCTATGGTGCTTCTTGGTATTTTTATATAAACTTTGTTTTTATTTTCCAAAGACACAGAACTTGAAACTGTTTTTTTTACACTGATTGTTCTTTCAGTTTATTAACAGGAACTATACTAGTATCTTTTTTTGAGTAAAAGTTTCTCAAAGTATCGACCCATAAAAATGCATCCAATTGCTTAATAACTTGAAACATGCTGTGATGTATATACTACTAATAAATGTAGTAGCATTTAGCTTACTTGTTTGGTATTATAAGTAACGAACATGCAAATGTTAATAAGTCTTTAGTACTCATCCTTTACTGTTATGAACAGGGAGTGTTCTGTTCTTCATTTCAAAATTCTTTCAGATAACTAGATACCTTCTTTGCAAGTGTATATAATTATCTATCTATCCTGTGAAAGAGTTTGATTGTGATGTTTTTAAAACAAACTTTTAAAATACACACAGTGTTGTACAGACAATGTAATACCTGGAAATAATGTTGTTGTTTTTTAGAAACATTGGAAAATTGTGGCTTATTTTACTTGGAGACACACTTATTAAAATTTTGTTGTCTATGTAAATTTTTTTAGGAAATTGGGGTTTATTTTATTTTGAGGAAAATGTTAAAGTATTAAAATTATATTATTGTATGTACAATTATAAGAAGTTTTCTTTTGCTAAATATACTGTTTAATTATTTTGAAAATTATTGTTTTATTAATTTGAATTTTGTTAGTTTGTATTTAAAATGCTAATTGACATATAAAATGTATGGTATATGTTAATGAATGATAATTCTATAAAGAAATGGATTTGATGTGGTGCATACAAATCAAATACAAGTACTATTTCCCTAGTTTATTTATTTAGGCAACTGTGTATTAGAAATAAGACCTTCACTCTATGAACTTATCACCTAAGGGAAGTAAAAATGCTACAAGAAGGAAAATACAACACAAACTTGTTAAAAGAACAGATATGAAAAAATGAAAGTAACTTAATTTTTGATTTGATATAATGCAAAAAAAAATTATCTACTTCGATAATGTTTTGCTATAGTACATGTAATAATTTTTAATAAAGAAAAATTTTGAAAAATCAAATTACACAAATTTCTTGTGGCATTGTTATCACAAACACATTATTCCAATAGAGTGCATTACCTCCTCCTGCATGTATATCCATTCTTTTTCAGTGCTGCCATCTATATGCAAAAATGTTTTTGTATGCCACAAGCCTTGAATTCCCACATACACCATGATCAATGTGGTTCAACTGCATCACGCATGTAAATCATTATGCGACAACCCTCCACCACTAGGAGTGTGACACATATCCTGACACGTGTGACTCCCTATGTTCGATTCTACCAAACTATCTCTCTCATTAAGCAGTGATCAGGTGCAGATGTTTTTCATTTGTGCTCTTTTCACGTGTTCATTTCATTTCATTTTTTATTATTTTGTGAATTAGTGGTTTACTTTAATTATTTACTTGCAGCAGTTAGTTTTATCTGTAGTAGTTTGTTGCAATAACTTACCTTTGTTTATTGATTTTTTTCTACTCATTTTAAATTTCTCTATGATTCAAGACGAATTTGGAAGTTTGTATTTTACAACTTATGATATTATTACCATTACTTCAAATGCCATTACTGGCTTCAGGTCTGAGAGTCTCGACTGAGGGTTTTTCTGTTATCAATCATTAGGAAATTGATTGCTATAGGAGGTGTACTTTTTCTCTCAACAATGTTCGGGTTCCTCCTGTATTTTCCAAACCTGTTCAAGATGTGGATGATTTTAAAATTTTTTTTTCCCTTTTCATACCTATGCCTTGCCTTCCCATGTGTCTTCTACGAAATCTACTAGGCCTAATTCTGAGCATTTCGTTTCTCAGTTGAGGGCTGGTATTAGCATGCCTCATCCTCCATGGACTTCTGATCTTTATTTTTTGGTTTCTCAGAAGCTGATCAATTTTTTCTCAACTCCAAGCAGTTAGAGTCACTTTTGCTCATTTGGGAGGGGCCTGTCCCTGATAATCCTATCAATTTCTCCAATTTCTTTTTTCTCATTATCATCTTACCTTTACACAAGTACATGTTCAACATATGTCTCCTTTCTGAGGCACTCCGTTGATCTCCTAAGGGTTTTTTGGAGGATACACTTTCCCTCCTTACTCCTCATTAGTGCTATTGTCCTTTTTGGCCCTATCCCTTCACACACGGTTTTGTAGCTGTTGGGGTCTTATTGGGAAGGACTCTGTCTTTTCATAGGTTCATCTACCTTCCAATTATCTGTGTGACTTTCAGATGGCTCCTTTTCTCTGTGTGTTTGTT